CGAACTACAGGAATCCTCACGCTACAATGACCGGGTTACAAGCAAAAATCACAACTTCTGAAGCGTTTATGTTTTGTTATCGAGGACATAATTTTTCTCCAGCTTATTATTGACTTGTGATGTACGTTTCCAGTCTGCTTGTTCGGCGCTTGGTTGAAATACAGCTTCAATAAAACAAATCTGACGTGACTGGCGGTCAAATAGGCTCGTTTAGAGATCAAGAGAGTCAATAATCACCATCCCTCCCTCTCTTTACCTTACCTCTCTCTCCTTCTTTCCCCCCGCTCTCTCTCTCTCTCTTTCTCTCTCTCTTTCTCTCTTCAATGGCCTTAGCATAACCTTCGCCCCAGTGGGGGGGAGGGGGGCATATGTTACCACCCTGTCGCGTTTTTTTTGCGTATAAATAAAAAAAACGCGGCGCGTAGCGCCGCGCCGCTTGGCACAGCTTTTTGTACATCAATTTTGGACAATGTGTGAAATTTTTGACCCCAGGTCATGTCAGGTCAGGTCACCAGGTCAAGTTAACTGACCAGGCCTAAAAAAGTTTGCAATCATGTCCAGCCTGCAGTGTTTGTCAGAAAGGTTTTAACCCTCGCATGTGTGCGGCGTTTGCCAGCTTCTAATGTGTAGGGGGGGGGGGGGGGTCGGTTGGACCCCCCCCCTTGCCGTTTGGCCCCTGATCGAGCTAGAGCTTCGCGGAAAAAACGAGCGTGTTGCCCGTGACGAGAGGAAGCCGATGATACCCAATTTTAAGGTCCTAGGTCATTGGTTGACCTTCCAGGTCAGGTCAATGACCCAAAGTCGGGAAAATCGGGACCTGTTTGAAAGTCGTAAAGTGTGGCTGCTAAGGGGTTTTTCGGGGTGCTGATCACGAATATCGTGTTAGTTTTGATCACAGATGATGTCTTGAACCATTTAGACCAGGTCGGGTCAGGTCAGGTCAGGTCAACCAGTAGGCGTCGTGACGGGTATTCGTAGTACGTGTCAACCGCCCCTGATAGCTTCGTAACATGTTACGAAGTCATCAAAACTACTTCGTAAATGTTCAAATGGTTGCTAAATTCGAATTCAGCTCCAAAAACTAGCCTAGAAACATGTAAAACTCGAAAAAGTGACCCGAGGTCACCCGAGGTCACCAAAGGTCAATGACCTGACCTGACCTTCAGGTGACCTTGACACACACGGGAGTAACATCAAATCACATGTTTGAACGTTTGAAACCACGAAAAGCTTGCAAACACGCGGCTAGTGCGAGCCGACATACGCGAAATCGCGATTCCGGCCAAACATGGTCTCGGAAAAGAGGTCACAGGTCAAAGGTCATTTGGGTCAGGGTCATGAAATTTTCAGGGTAGGTGTAAAATTGATCAATGCGAGGGTACTGAAAGTTTCGTCGCGATCGGCCGCTTTTTACGCGAGTTATTCGCGAAAAACCATGGGGGGGGGTCCATCCGACCCCCCCCTACACATGCGAGGGTTAAACTTGGTGGATTGCATGATGTTATGGGCGCCTACAATTGTATATCTCGGATTTTTTATATCCGTGACCTAAGGTCAGGTCAGTGGCGTGACCTTACCATTATAAGTCAATGGAGAAAAATGAAAATGCCTCTAGATCCGTGTGTACGCATAGGAACAGTCCAAATATTTCAGAATCACAATGATTTGGACCACCCGTGATGACCAAGGTGTCATTTTTGCTAATAGCCTCTAGAAAGGTCACCCGAGGTCATTTGAGGCTACAAACAGATTTTTGCCAATAACTCGCGATTGGAAAGAGATAGCACGCTGGGGATGGCTTCATTGTGTTTGTCTTGTTGAGACGCATCGAATGATATGCAACATGACCTTTTCCGGTCAGGTCATGACCTTGACCTGAGGTCAAATTTTCAAGTTGACCTTTCAAGGTCCAATTATAGTTCATTCGACGCGTCTCGTCGAGAGGAACACGATTCTGGCAATAGAAATGTCGTGGCTTTTTCTAGTCAAAAGTTATTGTCGAAAAACACTTTGCGAAAAAACAGCTATTTTTGGAGTTTTTGCCCTCTGCAGGCTAAACCGTTGACCTGAGGTCAATTTTGATATTGAACTTATCGAAAGAAGAGTTCAAAAGCCATCGATTGCTTTTCCATGCGTTTTTCTAGCTATCATAGTTCCTGAGATAAAAGCATGTTTTCTGAAAAATATAATGACATTTGGCAGATTTTGACCTTTGATGACCTCCAGTGACCCCAATAGTGCTCCAAGATGAAAAATGACCGAAATACTTTCAAACGTACGCATTGAGAGCTATCGACTGCTTTTTACCGCGTCTTTCTAGCCCTCTTAGTTTTTGAGTTAGAGGTGGGTGGTAACATATGCCCCCCCCCCCCACCCCACTAGGGCGAAGTTGGCTGAGACCGCCACTGGGGCGCGGGTTAAATGCGCGATACGTTCCCCGACGTTCTTCTTCTCCCAGCCAAACGCTGTCGCCACACATTTTGCCCTATAGCATCTCACCAGTGACCTCCCCTGCCCCACCGCGCCCTCCCCTCCCTTGCGTCGAATCCGATGCTCGTCAGCCTCGCCTCGCCGTCGACGTGTCGACAGCGACGATGCTGGCGTCGCCCCGTCTGCATCGACGTTCCCCTCCCTCCTGATCCCGTCTGCCCGGCCCCTCCGCGCTGCTCCTCAAGAAACTCGACTCCCACTACGGACCGGGTGAGTCAGCGCTCGCGTGGCATCGATCGGGCCGAGACGCTGCGTGGAACGCACGGTGGACGGCTCAACGAACCCAGCGGACGTTGGAAAGAACGCACAGTGGTCGGCGCAGTGGAAAGAACGGACGGTGGGCAGCTGAATAAACGCAAGGTGGATACCTAGTTGAACGAATGTCCTGTGGATGGTGGAGAGAATGGTGGACGCTGGAGAGGACGGTGGACGGTGGAACGAACAGTAAAGAGAAGCAGTCTAGCCCACAGTCCTTAGCAGGTGATCCGCGGTATGGGGTCACCGGATCTCTGACCTGCCAAACATGGCTCAGCATGGCTCTCCACCTGACCTCTCACTGACCCTTACCAGACCTCTGGCCCGCTCTCCTAAGCAGTACCTTTGGCCCGCCACCGGACCCCGCCGGTGCGTTGGCCCTCCATTACACTGGGCGTAACGAACTATCGATCATCTCGCTGTATCCGACGGCGCGCCACCCGGCCTGAATGCCTATCCGTCCGGCGGGGTCCTTCCGGGCGACAGAATGAAGACGGGATCAAACCAGGATGGTACCAGGTCATATGACCACCTTACACAGACAGGTAGCACAATTTAGGTACACAGACAGATTTCACCGTTTACGGATGACAAAATTTCTTAAAGATAAGCAGCGAATCCCGAAATAACGTTTACCTTGTGGGTAACAGACGAGAAAATCGTGCCCGTTCTAATGCCCTGTCCACCATATTCGGAAAAGGTTCGCCCCGGCTCAAATGGACTCATCAACAATGTGCACAAGAACTGTCGGGTCGGAGGATTGATGAAATCTGAGCACAATGGAGCAATGGCCGGCTGGAACAATGGTCCCTCACACAGATCCATTACGCCTTATGAGCTGTATGCATTGAGGTCGCCGGGCATTGACACTGTGTGTAGGTGGAAGGTTGTAATGCTTGTGGTTGGATATCTCATGGACAATCACGGGTGGCGGTCCCGAAAGGACTAAGCGTAAGACCTGTATTTGACGGTCGGTTTTAACGTTAAATCAATTATAATCACTAAATGGATGTCGCTTGTTAACTTCAGTTAAGGTTTAATGTGAGACGCTCTCCAATCTAAGCTCCCGTTGTTCTGTGGGACTGTCGAAGCACCATCCTATCTCTGAAGTGCAAACAACCACGAAACGAGAAAGTCGCTGCTAATCCAGATCAAACATCCACAAATAACTTACGCTTCCTACCCAACAATCCCCCCGCGATATTGCCCAAAGTAGCCAACAACCAATCGGCTAAATGCCTAGCCATCCCCATCTTGAGGCTGTAGCCCAATCGTTACAATGGTCCGTCTCAAAGGGCCGCGGCTACATAAGACAGTCCCGCGGATGTGCAAGACCCGACCCGACCGATCCGATCCAACTCATCTCAGGCACGTTCCCTGGTCAGCACTCAGCACATGTGCCAGTCACGTTCGCAGCACACTTTCGCCTTCGTCCGGCGCGGTGGCACCTTCCCCGGCCGACAAAAACCCACAGAGATCTATCAGAGGTCGGACGACCTTTCTACGGTTGACGGGAGGGGGGGGGGGAGCTCAGGAGCGGGCAGAGCCATCCGTAACGCGGGGGTGAGTGGCTGAGAGTAGATCGAGGTCAAGTAGGCTGTAGGGGTCAGATCGGTCCAAGATGAAAATGGCAGCTTTCGTTCTTTGCCAGCCGGTAATGGATATGTGGGAGTATAGAAATGCATTTGGCTTGGCCGCCGCCTGACGCCGATCGATTTCCTGAGAACGGATTGTGTCCCGGACACGTGAGTCGCGAGGCGTGGGCGATCCCCAGAAAGGTCACACGTGAGGTCGGATGGGAGTTGCGAGTTACGACGAACAGCAAGATGTACGCAGTGCACTGCTTAGCTTCGTTTGGCAAGCAAGGCAAGCATAGACACTCAAGGTGACGTGTGGCTGAAAGCAGGAACGATAGTTGTCGTACACTTATAGATAAGTACACTAAAAGTCGTCCGTATCCAACACCGGTTACCTTTTCATCTCTGATTGAGTGGTAATGCCCTATTCAGAGACACAGGGGAACGCGCGCTCTGCTCACTACACTGCTGACGCGCAACGTTGAAACTAAGCATGTGTCCGCCATGAGGCTGATTGCCAGTCCCGATGATGGTGTTATGAATAATCCGTCAGAATATGAGCTTGATGCGTTCTGCTACGTAAAGTCAAAGTATGTCGCCCCCCCCCAAAAAAAAAATGATCAACGAAGGCCGTCTTCACGAGGTCGCAAGCTGACGCAGCCATCCCAAACAGTCGGCGTCATTTTCGACTTGTATTGGGCCATGACATCACACATGACACATGTCATCTGAGCGCCCAGTCTGTATCTAACGGGCCTTAAATTACTGCCGCGGGTCCCTGTCCGCTCCAGCACTGTCCCTGCACCGCGGCGATCAGCGTGACACGGACTGGGTCACAGCTGATCAGCCAATCAGAGCGCCGGCAGACCGCCACGTCACACACATCCACCAATCAGGACATCGGCAGCCTGCGACGTCACATACGTTCACCAATCAGAACAGCCGACGGTAGGCGTGCTCACTGCACGCCGAAACAACATCGCAACCGCGCGCTACAACTATAAAAGTCCACATCACAATGGTGGAACCCACTTGGGCGTCACATTTCAAAGAGCAACTAAGAGCCCGGACCCACTTGGGTGGTTCTCCTCCGCGCCTGCGCACTTCAGGCAGCCACCGGGTCTCGGGATGTTCCCACACTCCGCATCTAGCGACACCCGACTGTGGAGGGCTTTACGCAGACCCTCCCAGGACCAACGAGCGCGCTACCACCGCCATCTCACGGCGTACGCAGCGACCTCTGACGGCCGGCGGGCGAAATACGAAAATAGCGTGTTTGGTGTGAGAGATGACGCTGAGTAGAAATGTAAGAAGTGTTTGGTAAGAGTCTGTCCGTCTAACGCCTTCTGTTGCGCTCCTCCTCTTCGCTCTCGTAGCCCGGACTGGTGGGGCTGTAGGTCGGGCTTGTCGGAGAATAGCCCGGGGTGGTGGGGCTGTACGTCGGGCTTGTTGGCGAGTACTTGGGACTCGTCGGGGAGTAGCCCGGGCTGGTCGGGCTGTAGGTTGGCGAGCCAGGCGAGTAGGTCGGGCTCGTTGGGGAGTACTTGGGACTGGTGGGGCTGTACTTGGGTGAGCTCGGGCTGTACGAGGGTGATGTCGGGGAGTAAGTAGGACTTGTCGGGGAGTACTTGGGACTTGTCGGGCTGTACTTGGGCGAGCTCGGACTGTAAGCCGGTGAGGCTGGGCTGTATGTCGGGCTCGTCGGGCTGTATTTCGGCGAGCTCGGAGAGTAACTCGGACTCGTGGGAGAGTACTTGGGCGAGCTAGGCGAGTAACTCGGACTCTGAGGCGAGTACTGCGGCGATGTGGGCGAATAGCTCGGACTTGTTGGCGAGTAGCTGGGACTCGTGGGACTGTAGCCCGGAGAGGATGGACTGTAGTTTGGTGAGCTCGGCGAGTAGCTCGGACTCGTCGGCGAATAGCTGGGACTGGTCGGTGAGTAGCTAGGGCTCGTTGGCGAGTAGCTGGGACTCGTTGGACTGTACGACGGACTTGTTGGCGAATATGACGGAGACGTGGGCGAGTAGCTAGGACTCGTCGGCGAATAGCTCGGACTGGTTGGTGAGTAGCTAGGACTTGTCGGGCTGTATGATGGACTGGTCGGACTGTAGCTCGGACTAGTTGGCGAGTAGCTCGGGCTAGTCGGGCTGTACGACGGGCTGGTGGGACTGTAACTGGGACTGGTCGGGCTGTAGTTGGGACTAGTCGGGCTGTAGCTGGGGCTCGTTGGGCTGTAGTTGGGACTGGTCGGGCTGTACCCAGGACTGGTGGGACTGTAGTTCGGACTGGTCGGTCCCAGACTGGGCGAGGCCGGCACGTATCCGGGCGAACTTGGGCTGTAGCTCGGCGACATCCCTCCTCCAGGGCTGCCGGGCTGCGGCGACCAGCCGGGCGAGTACCCGGGCGACAGACCCGACGCATCGCTACTACTACTCGGGGAGAAGCCGGGTCCACCAGGCGTCATACCGCTACCCATACCAGGCGACCAGACACTACCGTACGCGGGCGTCGCTCCCTGGTTCCACGGCGTCATCACTGGCGACATGCCCGAGCCAGGCGTGGCCGCCGAGCCGAAGAACATGCCGACGCCCATGCCGGCGCCCAGCGTCATCGGGATCTCGATGCCGTGTTTGCACTTGTCTGCGTCCAGCAGTAGGTCGAAGCAGCCTGTGGGGAGAGGGAGGGAAGGGAGGGGTTAGAATCATACCCAACGGGAGCCGAAGGTTTCGGAAACGAGTGAATATCTTGGATGGTTTGTGATTATAATTTGCGATTTTAGGCCAGCCTGGAGGTAATCGGTGCCCACAACAATAAATACTATCGGATGAAGCAAGGCAGTAGAAAAATCACTCTGTTCATTCATTAAAACTAATCGTAGGCCGCGATAAAATTACTAAGCAATTCAAACAATCTCTGCATATGTTTGATACCACCAATTAAGTGGTCAAGAATCAGAAAATAGCTAGACATCACACTGGTAGGACCATTACCATTTATCATGATAAGCCCTAACTACATTAGCAATAAACAGGGGCCCGGGAACGATTTTCAAGTTGGGGGGGGGGGGGGCGAGCCAAAAATACCTGACAGATGCATATGAAACAGCGGCGTTGCTAGAGGTCTAAGGGGACACGTACCCCCCCCCCCCCCCACACACACCGGGTTCAAAGGAACCCTCGGGTCCGAGAGGCCCTGCGGCGCCATTTGACTGCTGAGGGTTAACGATGGCCATATTTCGACTCAGAATGGCCCCATTGGGTTCGTTAGAGCACTTCATGGGCCCTAAATAGCCACACTAAGATCTCCATAAGGGCCCCACACCGGCTTCTGAGGGTCTCTTGCGGCCTTTAAGGGCCCCTCGGTGGTCTCCAAAGGCCCGTTACAGGCCTCTGAGAGTTCTTACCGGCCTATGAGGGGCCAGTTCTAGGGGCATTTCCCGCCTGTGATGGTCCCACACTTATTTTTCTGAGGGGGCCATAACGGCAACTGTGGGGGCCCTCATTGGCGCCTATGAGGGCCCACACCGGTGTCTCTGAAGGTTTCACACCCCAACTCTGAGTGCCTACACCAGTGGCCAGTGCCTATTAAAGCCCAATATCGGCGACCCTGAGGACCCAACCAACACCTGTGCATCTAAAGGCCACCCACTGGTGACTTTTGAGGGCCCCACACCGGTGACTCTGGTCTCTGAGGGCCCCACCGGCGTCTGACAGTAGGTACCATTCCAGTCTCTAAGGACCCCACATTACTTTTTCTGCCGGCCTAAGGGCCCCTTGCCGGTCACTGAGACCTCCTGCCGGCTTATAGAGGGTTCGCGTCAGCAGCTCGCCTCTAAGGGCCCCACACCCGTCTGTAACGGCTCCACAGCAGCGTCTATGAGGGCCCACAGCAACGCCTGTAAGCACCCTCACCGGCGCCTCTGAGGGAATCACACTAGCACCTCTGAGCGCCCACACCGGCACCTGCATGCGCGGCCCCACACCAGTGCCTCTAAAGGCCCCTTACCGGCGGCTCTGAGGGCCCTACGCTGGTGATTCTGAGGGTGCTACCGGTAACTGAAGGCACCACATAAGTCCTTAGTGTCTCTGTGCTTTAATCCCATACCGGCCCTCCAAGGGCGCCACGTCAGTGCACGGCATTGCCCCACACCCATCCCTCACACCCGGAGCGGGTTAACTGTGATATACCTATAGCGCCTATAGCAACGATTTTACCACCGTTGTGCTTTACGTATTTCTCAAAGTTGACTCAAAATGGTCCAGTATAAAATCTGGACTGCCAAACTTATGGCCAAGGTCAGGCCCAAACCAAAGCGGGATGACAATAGCATGTTGTCAAATCGATACTGTATCAGCAGAAACCATTCAGATGGCAAGGTAAAATGCCGTGTGTTGATGTTTAGTTGTATAAAGGAAACAAGAAGGAATGAAGTTCGAAAAAGGGAGGAAAGATCCTTTCTCGCTGCATCAATGTTGAGGGGGCGCCGCCCCCTCGGGCTCTCAAGTTGGGGGGGGGGGGGGGGGGCAAGCGCCCCCGCTGCCCCCCCCCCCTGTTCCCGGGTCTATGGCAATAAAGTAGCCATTACGATTCCGGCATCAAATGTGGAGCTGTGCTTCAGTCGTTACAACTCGCTAATGGTGTCATAATTCACATTGGGACCACGGTTCGCGCTGTTTGGTTGGTAGATAACAATTTGGTTTTATAGTTCTTATGACAAGCTTTCTTCATTATCGTAGTGTAACACGATACAAGTGATTTTACATTGTGTGTAAGACGTGCTGGTGGTGTGAATTTAAACAATTACAATCCTACTCCTCGGTGTTTATCATTTAGTTTCAACACCATCAAACTAAAACTAGCGAGACAGGTCAGGAAATAATCCGTCAACTCATGCCCCAAAAGTTCGTAATAAATTTATAACCATTTAATCAACTGTCCAACTAGATTGGCGCGTTGGGTTCACCAGTACGATAATTGACCAGTTTTTGCCTTCAGCAGGTAACAGCAGCCTGTCCCAGTGTACCAGTAGTACCCAGCCATCACTGAGATGTCTAGTGTGTTACTAGTACTATCCCCGAGCCCAGCTGATGTCCCAGCGTTAATTTCTCACCTGTGCCAATGCCGGCCAGCTGGCCCAGCATGATCTTCTCGGAGACTCCGCGCAGAGGGTCCACCTCGGCGTGCGAGGCGGCGTCCATCAGAACGTCGACCGTCTCCTCGAACGAGCACCTGGCGAGGGCACAGCGGGTCAGCGAAGGCACATTAAGGTCAGCGAGGTCACACGCAGGTCAGCCAGGTCACATACGAACCGCGGAGGTCACATACAGAAGAAGATTAGCAGAGGGTCGATGGGGGCGGGGGCATATTGAGGGAGGTAGCCCTAGCAAGCAGAATGAGGCGGGGCACAAGCGTGCCGCAGGATGGAACACTCGACCGCGAGAAGATACACAGAGGTTAGAATTGACGTGAGCTAATTCCGTTTGAGCAATCGAGATCTTTACCGTCATTGGTAGCAATTTCCAACCAGGGATTTTACGAGCATCAGGTATCTTATCTCACGGTTCCATTACGACCAAGCCGGTCAACTAATCAACCTCACAATCCAGAGCCCCAATATCATCCCCGTCCAAGCTCCCACCTCAACCCATTCTCACTTCCTCCCACTCATTCCCACTGACCTCATGAGCGCGCCGGTGTCCTGTCGGTTGATGCCGTGACGGGTGATGGCCATCAGGTGACCCTTAGAGGTCATGACCTCGCACAGCAGCGCCAAGTGACGGTAGTTGACGTACAGTCCGTAGAACTGTAGCACCGTGTTGATCTCTTTCTCGATACACTTGCGCACGGCTTCGATACCGAGCACGGAGAAGATCTCGCAGATGTCGTTGGAGAAAGTACGGATCGGGTCGACGTCTCGCTCGCTGAGTACCTGTTGGTGAGAGCGGGTGGTGTGAGTGAGGCGAGAGTGGTAGATTGGGCTGGCGTGTGGTCGTTTTGTAGACACAACACCGGTCCCAATCAACTTGACACCCCAAGCCACTGAGAATGAAACGAAAAGCTAGTGGTGCCTGGTAAACCACAGACAAATTTAACTAAGAGTAGCGATTTAGTAGGGAAACCACATCCGCAAAATGTCAATATAGATATAATTTCGAAAAGTAAATATCAATCCATAGCACGATGAATGTGTACAATCCTAGGACCAGCAACTAATACGTCCAGCTGACCTTCATACAAGCCAGACAGACATCCAATAAACCTTCGGTCATCCCAGGTTGCCTTGACCCTAATCTATCAGTATAGCCCCAACAGAGATCCCATGGCACTTACCTTCATGAGCGACGTTCCGTCCGTCTCGAGCAGCCACTCGGCGATGTGTTTGAACTCTCCGGTCTCGGTGATGACGATACGCTTCTTGTTCTCGGTGGACGGCAGGTGCATGTACACCTTGCTGATGGACTCGATACCCTGCGGAAGGCGAATTATTCAGTGATAATCCAAGCAAAATTACCATCAGCGCTGGACTCAGCGATGTTCATACCTCCGCGATCATCTAATATCGGGAAATACACGTAACACACACCAACAGGATGCGGTGCTGTCTGGTAATCGCCAGATTCACGGTGGAAAGGCTCAGCCACCACTCATACAAAAACTGTATGTGAAATGAAATCATATGTACCGTATCAAACGGAAAGTAACCAACAAATGTGGTCATTTGTCCCATCTGCTTCGACAGGACACCAGCTTTTGAACGACAAGAATAAGACAACATAGCAAAGATAAAGGCTAATATAAGTACGGTGTTCCAAGACGTTAACTTAAAAAAAAAAAAAACAGGGACCTATGAAACCACACAGGCAGACACCATAAAAAGAACCAGCTGCCGTACCTGCAGGGTCATGTCACTGAGCATGTTGGACTCGATGCAGCGCAAGAACATGTCGTCCTCCATGCGGTCCATCTGCTCGTCCTCGTCCGAGAACTTGGAGTCGTCCGAGTTCATGATGCGGATGCGCAGCACCAGCTTCTCGGCGTTGTCGTCGTTGAAGATGCAGTTGAGGTCGTCGCCGAAGCCGGCGTTGATCTTCTCAGAGATCTGCTCCATGGTCAGCTTTTTGTCTGGAAGTCGAAGGATGAGGTAAGAAATGAACACAGAAAACGGCAAAGCAAAAAATTGCAAATCATGCCCTTATGCGGAGTGCTGTGAGACACAGTTTTGCGTAATAAATAAAGACGGTAACAGTGAACCAGGGTCTAAATTTAACTAAAACGGTAGGTCAGTAGAATAGTGGTTACCAAGGCATACATAATTTACTAATACAAAATAGTATTTAATAATCCGAACTCTGAATTATTTGGCGCTTGCGTCACTGTCCACTCACCGGTCATCCGTTTGCGGTCGAGCTCGATGCGCAGCAGCCAGGGCGAGATCCGCGTCGGGTCGAAGTCGGGCATCTCATAGTAGACGTTGACAAACTCCTGGTCCTCGGCGATCACCGTGTTCTGCGGGTCGGGGTCGTAGTAGATGGCCGTGTTCGCCGTCACCTTCCTCAGCGTGGTGTGCTCCAGGCGACACAGCACACTCTTGGCCTTTTCGGCGTCACGCGCGCTGGCGCCCGTCAGGAACACTGTCAGCGAAGGAGCCTTGGGCTTCTTGCTGATGTTGATGATTTCCTTGAGTCGCGGCACACCGAGTGTTACGTTCTTGGACGACACACCGGCGAAATGGAATGTGTTCAGGGTCATCTGAGTGGCGGGCTCTCCGAGCGACTGGGCCGCCAGCGCGCCCACCATCTCTCCGGGGTTCACCATCGCCTGGTGGAAGCGGGTGTCGATCTCGCCGATCAGCCACTCGAACGCCTCGGAGCTCAGCCGGTACTCCTCGGCGACACGTCGCGTGCACAGCGTCGAGCGCACCAGACACGAGAACAGGATGGTGGCGTTGGCGTTGGCCGTCTTCGATAGACGGTCCTCTCCGCGCACAACGACACAGCGCGAGAGCAGAGTGCGCACACCTTCCAGCACTTTGAGCGGACTGAGATCCGTCGGCTCCGTCTTCTTGATGTGGAAGATCTTCTGGCCGTTCCAGATCATGCGCTCCAGGTTGCAGGGCAGTACGACGCGGCTCTCTCCAGTGGGGAAGATCTGTCGCAGCTCCTGTCGGTCCCTGGAGAGCGTCTCCCATTCTCGCTCCAGTTCGCCGATGATCTCTCCCGATCCCATCAGGTCGCGCACGATGTCCTCCTGGAAGACGCGGCGCAGCTGGCGCTCGTTAGTCGTCTCGAACTTGAACTTGCGCTTGAACGCCGCGTCCGACAGCTTGATGGTCGGCAGGCTCTGGAACTCGACAAACTCTCCAGCTAGTCCGTCCTCGCCATAACGAAGCTGCACCAGCTGGGCCACGGAGTTTCGCAGTGTACCGTCATAGTTGACCATGACAGACTCCATAGCCTTGATCAGACGTCGCTGGATGTAACCAGTTTCGGCTGTCTTGACAGCAGTATCGATGAGACCCTCACGACCTCCCATGGCGTGGAAGTAGAACTCGGTGGGCGTCAGACCGGCGAGGTACGAGTTCTCGACGAAGCCTCTCGACTCGGGACCGTAGTCGTCCTTGATGAAGTGAGGCAGCGTCCGCTTCCGGAAGCCGAACGGGATTCGCTTTCCTTCGACGTTCTGTTGACCCACACAAGCGATAACCTGTGAGATGTTGATGTTGGAACCCTTGGATCCGGCGACCACCATAGCCTTGAGGTTGTTGTACTCTCCGAGGGAGTTCTTGGCCGAGGCACCGGTCTTGTCACGGGCGTCGTTGAGGATGCGATTCACATGGTTCTCGAAGGTCTGACGCAGCGTGTTACCGGGCGTCGGCTCGAGCTCGTCGTTGTGCGCCTTCTCGATCACCTGTATCACGTCCTCCTTGGCCTTGCGGATGGTGTTCTGAATGTCAGAGTAGGTGTCCGGGTCCGAGATGGTGTCACCGATACCGATCGAGTGACCCTCGTACAGCAGCCAGGCGTTGACCACCGACTGGATGTCGTGGTAGAAGTGGCCGGCGATGTCGTGGCCCAGTTCAAGCCAGCAGATATGCAGCAGCGATCCTGCTGACGCTCCGAGCGACTTCTTACACAGGATGCCCATGATGAGCTCGCCGTTGTCTACCAGGACCTTGGTGTCACCAGGCGAAACCCACTTGTACGGGCCGGAGTCCTCGTCATCCGGATGTGTTGAGTGCGTTCGCACCATGTTGACGTTCCCGGGGATGATCAGCGAGAAGAGTTGCTTGCCAGTCCAGAGCGGTCGCGGCTTGATGATGGCCGGCACGGGAATCTTGCCGTCCCACGTCGGCAGGAACATGAGCATGTTCATCATCTCCTCCTTCTCCAGGAACACGTCACGCTTGGTCATCTTTCGCACAGCCGTCAGGGTGTCCTGCACGATACCCATGACTGGTTTGTTGGACTGCGGTGTGACGATCATCCGAGGTGTGACGTGCATGTTCTCGATCTCGGCACGGGTCTCCATCGACTGTGGCACATGGAGGTTCATCTCGTCGCCGTCGAAGTCGGCGTTGTACGGCGATGTCACACTGAGGTTCATTCGGAATGTGGACCACGGTAACACCTTGACGCGGTGACCCATCATACTCATCTTGTGGAGGGTCGGCTGCCGGTTGAAGATAACCAGGTCTCCGTCGATGATGTGACGCTCCACTTTGTAGCCACACTGGAGATGCAGGTCTGAGGGCTTCGGGTGGAACCGCAGGTCGATACGCTCGCCGTTGTCGCGAATGATGTACTTGGCGCCCGGGTACTGGTTGTTGCCACGCTTCACAAGGTCCTGCATCTTGTCGATGTTGAACGGCGTCACGATCTCCGGGTACGTCAGGTTCAGCGCGATGGTCTTGGGCACGCCCACCTGGTCGATGCGCAGGTTGGGATCGGCTGTGATGACAGTTCGCGCCGAAAAGTCAACACGCTTTCCCATGAGGTTTCCTCGAATGCGACCTTCCTTGCCCTTGAGCCGTGCCTTGATCGCTTTGAGAGGCCTTCCACTCTTCTGCATGGCACGCGGCAGACCCGGCATGTCATTGTCTGACAGCGTCGCGACGTGGTACTGCAACATCTTGTGGTTCTCCAGGATGATGTGAGCCGCCGCACCAGCCGATTCGTTCTTGATGAGCTCGTTGTTGGCCTTGATGATGTCGGCCAGTTTGTGGGTCAGATCGTCCTGGTTCTTGGCCGATCCGAACATCATGACCGCGGGCCTGACACAGAGTGGCGGCACCGGCAGCACGGTGATGATCATGAAGTCTGGACGCGCGAACTTGGGGTCCATGCCCACCAGGAAACACTCCTCGTCAGAGATGTGCTTGAAGATCTCGTACACACGCTCGGCGGTCAAGTTGATCTTCTTCTCTTGCGAGTCCTCGTTGACGTGCTTCCACTCGGCCGTCAGGTCGAGTCCGGAGCGCCGGATGCGGGGCTGGTAGCGTCCGCAGCCTCCGTGCCCCTTTGCGGCGTTCGGATCGTCAGCACTGCCCTCCTTCTGCAAGTCGATTTCGTCACCACCTTCGCAAATGTTCTTTCCTTTACAGAGATCGTAGACGTGGGTCATGCGCTTTCTCGGCTGACCCTTCGACTTTAGCACAATCTCCTTGATCTTGGGGTTGGTCGGCGTAATGAGCAGCTTCGAGCAGTAGAAGCACACACAGCGCAGCACTTTGATGGTGGTTGTGAGGAAGCCCGGGTGGAACACAGGCTTGGCCAGGTCGATATGGCCAAAGTGTCCTGGACATTCTGTCATGTTGCCGGCGCAGGTCTGGCAGCGCGACAGTCGGTCGATGACACCCTGCCGGGGGTCCATGAGACCGCCCAGCTTGGGTCGGCCGCCCTCCATCGTTTCCGGGTACTTGATGCCGCCCTCTGTCACCGACATCCGCCGGATCTCGTCCGGACTGAGGATGCCGAACTGAATTCGCTTCACCTCGCGCAGAGGCGCCTTCGAGTCGCCGGTCATGGCTGCCATGGTGGCGGCCGGAGCGGCGCCGCCCCGCTCTCACAGGATGCCAACTGGTACGATGCCGCGTCTAATGTGCTGGGCTCAAGCACCAGTCTGCACTCTGTGGGCAAGGAGAAAACAAAATTGAAGATATACTTGCCAATTTAACATTGACGGCTTTATTGTTGAATATAAAATGAAACAGAGAGTAGGCAAATCACTACCATCACCGATGACTGCATCTTGTGAATGCCATAAAAGGGATTTTTGCAGCACTGTGTGAACTTAAGCTGCATGAGGCGGCTAATGAATTTTTGTTAACACATTTCAATTCATTGCATTTGTACCAAATGACTATAATAAGGATTACTGTATCTACTTGCACCAGCATTTCCCAACACATGATTTTTCTCATGCATGCTCCCAAATACCATTAAGATTAAAGAGAGGTACAGCACTTTATAAGATTGGGGCCTGGTCATCTAGGAATAGGCCACAAGGTTCGTTTCAACCCTTCCCCTGAGAAACGCAATAATGCTTATCCCACATTTTGTGTTTAAATGTTTATCTAAATTTATGAGAGCACCAGTGCCAACAACTTGTAAATATCATACTTTCATATACCTTTGAGAGCTGGGGTGGGATCAAATTCATAATCCCACCATACGCGTATAACATAATGAAGGTAGCTGCATTGTAGGAAGCAGAAATACAAGTCGAGATTATTGCAAAGAATTTCCCCGAACATGAAAAGTTATATTATTTTTTTCCAAAGTGGTCTCGCTATCAGCTTTTTTCATGCAGCAAACATTCTAAAAAGAGCAAGCAAAAATGAACCCGAACAAACTGAGCATCATCACATGTATATGTCTATAATTCCTATTTACTCAGGTATATCTGCGCATCTACAACTTAATATTAGAGCCTTGGTGCTGTGGTGTGATGTTTGCATTATGTAGTGGAACTTGAAGCGTGACATGGGGAGCATTCATTCTGGCCAGGGTTCATAATGTCCAGGGTACGCTATGCCCAGTGTCAAAATGGCCAGTGCCTTGAATGGGCCAGAGTTCATAAGGTCCAGGGATTGCATGGTCCAAATGTGGCCAACTGGCTGCAGATAGGGTATATTCAAAGAGGCCAGGGTTCATAATGTCCAGGGCACGATGTGTCCAGTGTTCAAAATGGCCAGGGTTCATAATGTCCAGGGCACGATGTGTCCAGTATTCGAAATGGCCAGGGTTCATAATGTCCAGGGCACGATGTGTCCACGTCCAGTGTTCAAAATGGCCAGTGCCTTGAATGGGCCAGAGTTCATAATGTCCAGGGATTACATAGTCACTGAAAGTGACGTCATTATGTAAAAAACACGGAATCAGCTCAATGCAAAGCAGTGCAGTGCCGAAGGCAATGCCTTAGGAGAGATTACAGGCAATAGTAAATCAAATACTTTTAGGTTAAGTGGTTATGTATCTGGCTTCAGGCCGAAGGCCTGAAGCCTGATGCATAACCACTTAAAGGTAGTGTGCCAGCTTTCTTGGACCGTATGGAGTTAATGGCCCAGATAAGGAGAACCGGATTTTTAGAACTTATCCATACCTTCAAAACTCATGGAAACGTCTTAAATTCTTCAAATTTTGAGTACCCCAGTGCGAAATTCGCCCCGACGGGTTGTCGGTCGTACCCCAACCACATTTCACACCACTATGAACAATAAATGCACACACTGAAATCGCTATTACCGATATGCTCATCCAATCAAGTTTCGATAAACCCGTTCATCATCATCTCCTGCGGTTTCGAACACGCCTGTTAGGTGGCTTCTGATGCTCGTCGAGGTCGGAATTTCCAAATACGCGTGGTGCGTCGGGCCGCGCGCTCTGACTTCGGCCAAGAAAAATGCGTCAGCTGATCATTGTCATTTCTGCCACTTGCGTGTGGTGAAATGGGGTCATAACTTATAAGACGGCTTTTTCATATCAATTATTTTACATAAAATCATATTTCAAACCATAAATAATGTTCGACAGCCAAATAAAAGAAACAATACCAATACGGGCTTACAGTTTAAGGCTCGACATTGTGTTGTCTACGATTAGACAGCTGATAACTCATTCCCGTACGTCGTATGGTCGTAACACTATAATGACCTTTGCTTATTGTCACAAGTGCGCCGCATTCGCGATTGTTGCCCGACGCCTGTTTGCAGGTGAGCCCACTACAGTTGTTATACATATCTAAAAACCGAAAAACTTTTAGGCGAAAAAGGCACTATTCCAGGCCCATTTTTGATTTTTTTTTGCGATATTAGGTAAAAACAGAAGCTTCTTATCCTAGGAAAAATAAAATGGGAAATCTTTCAAAGGTGGCACACTACCTTTAACCTAAAAATATTTGATTTACTATTGCTTGCAATCTATTCATGCGAGAAACTATTTCCTTATCCCTGGTAGGCAAACATCATTACCTTAGGTTAGGTTAGGTTAGGTTAGGTTAGGTTAGGTTTGGTTGGGTTGGGTTGACTATGTAATCCCTGGACACTATGAACTCTGGCCCATTCAAGGCACTGGCCATTTTGAACACTGGACACATCGTGCCCTGGACATTATGAACCCTGGCCATTTCGAACACTGGACACATCGTGCCCTGGACATTATGAACCCTGGCCATTTTGAACACTGGACACATCGTGCCCTGGACATTATGAACCCTGGCCTCTTTGAATTTACCCTATCTGCAGCCAGTTGGCCACTTTTGGACCATGTAATCCCTGGACAATGTGAACACTGGCCAGTACATACATTACAGTACATTGCCAGTACCAGTACATTGAAGCCAGTACATTGAGTACATTGAATTGGCCAGTACATTGAAGCGTGACATAATGCAGTATAACCATTTTTATTTTTGTTTTAACCCTCGCCGGCACAGGCCATTTTGCGTCCTTCGACGGCACAAGGGGGGGGGGGATTGGTACGACCCCCCTCGCGTTTGGCCCCTGATCGAGCTAGAGCTTCGCGGAAAAAACGAACGTGTTGCCCGTCACGAGACAAAGCCGATGATACCCAATTTTAAGGTCCCAGGTCATCGGGTGACCTTCCAGGTCAGGTCAATGACCCGAAAATCGAGAAAATCGGGACCTGTTAGTAAGTCGTAAAGTGTGGCTGCTAAGGGGTTTTTCGGGGTGCTGATCACGAATATCGTATTAGTTTTGATCAGAAATGATGTCTTTAAGCCTTTAGACCAGGTCGGGTCGGGTCAGGTCAGGTCAGGTCAACCGGTAGGGGTCGTGACGGGTATTCATAATATGTGTCAACTGCCTCTGACAGCTTCGTAACATGTTACGAAGGCACCAAAACTACTTCGTAAATGTTCAAATGGTTGCTAAATTCGAATTCAGCTCCAAAAACTAGCCTAGAAACATGTAAAACTCGAAAAAGTGAACCGAGGTCACCAAAGGTCAATGACCTGACCTGACCTTCAGGTGACCTTGACACCCACTCTGATGTATGGGAGCAGCATCAAATCACATGTTTGAAGGTTTGAAACCACGAAAAGCTTGCAAACACGCGGCCAATGCGAGCCGACATACGCCGAATCGCGATTCCGGCCAAACATGGCCTCGGAAAAGAGGCCACAGGTCAAAGGTCATTTGGGTCAGGGTCATGGGTGGAGAACCTGCCCCGGCCACCCCGGCCGTGGCCGGGGTAACTTTCAGCCGACCCCGGCGCGGCCGGGGTAACTTTTTCCACTTTTGTAAATCCTAAAAGCTGTCTCCATACGAAAAAAACTGCCATCTATAAAAGCGTCTCTCATTATTCTTATCTACCTTGAAAAGTTATTGAAAATTTACTTTATTATTTTCATTTTGGAGCTTCTATGTTTTTAAGTTTTTTTTCATCGCAGAGCCCAACATGTTTCATCAAACAGAAGTAGGTAGGTAAATCATATTTCAAGTGCGAGCTCAAATCAATAAGAGGGTCAAAACGGTCAAATTTGACATTTTGTTTTGTGTGGGAAGTTTGCAACTTCCACGGAATAAGCTTTGCAAAGGGCATTAGCACGATCATCCAGCAAATTTGACCTGATGACCTGACCTAGCACTAGGTGACATGCGTCCTAAATTTTAAGGCGTGTTGCAAAATTGTTGTTACAATTACAAAATCTTCCGCACCTGCGTGCAGCAGTTTTCCCTAAAAACGTACAAACGGCAAACATCCTAGGGGATTGTTGATAACCGTTGACAAATATTTGAGCATCATCGTCTTTCTGACTTTCGGTCGCCGGCCGGGGTAACTTTTTCAAACATTCTCCACCCGTGGTCAGGGTCATGAAATTTTCAGGGTAGGTGTAAAATTGATCAATGCGAGGGTACTGAAAGTTACGTCGCGATCGGCCGGGGTTGGTTGCATCAACCCCCCCCCCCCCTGTGCCGGCGAGGGTTAACAGCATGAGCAAAAGATAGCATCAAGATTCAAGATGACATCAGAAACAGCAGGCAGTAATAGTAATGCATAATGATCCAATACTTATTTTAAACACTTCATTTGTAAAACTTGTGTGAACATTTTCAGGAGAAAGTGCTCCTTATGCCATTTTCCTAAGTTATGAATGAACAGCTTAGTTGAATCTCAGGTTACAAACACTAGGAACCATTCACTCAGCTGTGAATAATTTTCATTAGGTTGATAGTGAGAAAGTTCATGCAGTCAACTTATGTAAGTGAATGCAATAATGAAGGAAACTACTTCTTTGCCAGCCAACAGAAAGGGCAGTAGTTAAGTCACATGTTGTATGCAACCATCTACTTCTTTCACCATTGCATTTTTAACCAGCAGCTCAGTTAAAAAAGATCTATCTGTTAGAGATGTTGACTATGTTTCGATGGCACAAATAATCCAATTTTGCAATATGGATTTGCTAAATCATATCATTGAGACATACTTTAAAAATGTAGATATAGGTATGATAAGTTGCAGCTTAAGCCACACATACCCTCATTTTTTGAATGAGTTGATAACACCTATTAAAAAATGTCTGTGAAATATCATTTAATAGATTTAAGCCTGTTATGGAAATGCAGTGATTTTATTGATCCAACATATCCTCATCTTCATCTTCATCTTCGTGTTATCGGGGCAAGAGGCACGATGTCCAGTTTATATCCAGTTTATGTGTAAGGAAATGGATTTTGCCACTTAATTTGCCTAAAATTTTATGGCAACACAACAGTTTTTGTCAAGATAAGGTCTGATCTACAATTGTGGCGCTGACGTCGTTAATATGAATATGAAGCAGTGGAAATGTTAAATTGTAGGTTAGGTTAGGTTAGGTTGTAGGTTAGTAGGTTTATAGGTTGTAGGTGTGTAGGTTGGTAGGTTGTAGGTAAGTAGGTAAGGTTAGGCCAGGTTTGATTATTCTTTTGTCTTTTATTTGCGAGACATGTAAGCATCATTTTTGGATTCAGGATGTCAAATAATGTAAGATTATGAAAGAAATATCCTTGAAATCTTCTTAGGACTTTATCTTGACATTTACTGATTGAAAGTAGGTAGGATATAGGACAGGTTGGTAAGTTGTAGGTTAGTATGTAAGTAGGTAAGGTTAGGCCAAGTAAGTTTTTTTTGTATTTGCAAGACACGTAAGCATAACATTAGAATTCAGGTTAAGTAGGTACTAGGTAATGTAAGAATAAGCAGAATTTATGCTTGAAAAGTGAATAAGGCTTTTTCTTAATATTCATCATAGATAGATACCTGCAATACATAGGTACCATAGGTACCAATGTACGTAGGTCCCTAATTCAAGGTCCATCAAAAAGTAGACTTTCAGCAGAAGGCCAAAAAAAATTGTTGCATGAATAGCACGAAACTAAATGGAAATGTTTTGATAAAAAATACGTCAATCCATGGTTATCTCAGACACATGATACTCTCTGACTCCCATACTCTGTGATACATGCCACAGCCCACAACTGTAACCCTGGCCCAATCTTACCAATGCCGTGAATAGGATTTGGCAGCACTAGCCAGAGTTTACGGCACTGATATCAACAATGTCCTTTTAATTTACCTCCAGGTAATCTTTTCCAGTGATTTTGATAGCGTGAATGATTATAAATGTCGCCAGAACGAATGAATAAGTGAATGTGGAATAGTTCTGAATGTTGGTAAGATTGGGCCCCTGTTCCAGATGACAGATCTTCAGATGGGCAAGCAATCACACAAACCTATGAAAATGGGACAGCAGTCATCCAAATGAATAAAACAATGAGGGAATTTCCACTTATATGAAATATGATGATCATTTGATTAGTAATTAAAATCAATGCAATATTAGTTACTAGGAACTGAGCATAACCTATAGTAGACGAACATGGCGCATGATGTTTATCATTTTATTACAACTAGCAGCGTGCCTCATGTAAGATATTATAATGCGATTATTTGACAAGCGTTTATAAACATGAAATTCATCATAAAGTTAATTAATTCATCATATTCAGGTGCATAGATCGAGGACTCCATCACCCCACCACCACCTGTCAACTGCTGCGAGCACAATGGTGGCGCGGCGCAGGGTTGTTGATTTCCAAGCCTAGGCAAAGAAATATTTTAGAGTTGACTGAGTAAAAACACTTTTAGTGACGTCACTACTTTTATATGCCAAATTTTTCCAAGAATCAAGCAAACAATATGAAATATGCGTGATATTCATCATTGAAAATTAATTTTCCACAAAAGCATATAGTTATGCTGAAATAGTTTTTTTCTTATTAGGTAGGCTTTCGTTAGTGGGGCGCGTCGAGGGAGGACGTGCCTTGGCGGAGGACGAATTTGAGACGAAAGCGGCGCTGAGCTTTCTGCATAGTTTAATTTTTTCTCTTGCCTTTCTTTCTTCTGAGGTAGGGGTTGAGGGCCCTGTCCTCATTTTGGTAAATTTGTTTTGATTTCCTTTCCATATCTAGGTGGGGCTGATAAGGAGATTTTTCCGATCACTAACTTTATTCTTCCTTGAAAATCTTGGGTGTTTGGGATGGGTGTTAGCACGGAGGACGTGTCAAAGATGATAGAAGAAGCAGTTAAAAAAGTCACTGATTTTCTGAAAGCAGACTTTGAAAAAAGTATGTCTGCCATGAGATCCGAACTTGATGCCTGAAAACACAGATCTAAAAACAAGAGTGATTAGCACTGAGAGGGCAGTAGAAAAAAATGAACAATACAACCGGAAAAGTACTCTTATTCTGGGGGGAGATGGGGTGCCACTCCCAAAAAAGGAACAGGAACCAACTTCTGAAACCAGAGCCATGGTAGCAAAAATCATCAAAGACAAACTCAATGTGAACATGCAAGGAGCCATCGTGGCCTGTCACAGGCTAAAAAACAAAAAAAGAGTTCTGGTCAAGTTCCAGGACCATGATGATCGGGAGGCGGTCTACCAGGCCCGGTTCGACCAGCCCCGGGATACAAAAGACAAAGTGATTATTCACGAAAACCTCACTGAGGCTAGGGCTGCCATGATCAGGCGCCTGGGTCAGCTCAGAGAAAAAAATCTGATAGTGAACTACCACACCAAAAACGGATCAATATATGCCAGGAGCTCTAAGGACAACAGATATTCCCTCATCGAACATTGGCACACAGAACAGGAAATCCTTGAGCTGGTCCAGAGTGCTGGAAACAAGGGACCAGAAGCACGGGACAGCCTGATGAGGTCACAGACCCTGGACAACATTCCGCAGGGGCGGGTAGCAGGACGGGTGTCTGACCTGACAGAGTTTGTTGTGCCCAACCAGAGGCAGAGCAAACGTCAGCCAAAGAAACAACAGTAAAAGGTCGTAGAGCAGAGTCTAGATCAGCTGCTCTACGTACCTCTCATTCAATCATCAGTTAATCTTGCACTATATTCATAAATGGGTCCCTCTGGGCTGGCTGGAATGTCTTTTCTGTTTTCTATGTTGCCCAACATAGGCACATGTGTATTTTATACTTGTATTAGATACCTACCTATTCTTGGTAAATGCTAGATTTTGGTATTAATAACTACCAATGGTCATTAATTTGTGTAAGTTGTTACCTATGAACTGTACTGGCCTCAGTTAACCTCACTTGATAATGCAGGCTCTCTAGTCTCTATCTAAGCCCCAGATACAGCAGGCCCTTCAGCTTAGCCACTATACCACTAAATATTTGCATACTTGTGAAGCTTCATCAAATAAGTTATCATACCTATATCTAGATTCTAGTGTGATATTGAGTGATAGCTATCAGCTGTGACATCACTCAGTCTCCGTGCTGGATATCTCCATCCCATGAAAAAACTTTGTGTTCTAATCATGTGAGATGTTGATTCTCACACTCACAGTGACTCTGATGGGTGACTGAGTGGACTTGCTGACTCAATATCATTCTCTGATGCCTATGCAGTATTACTTGTGACTGCAATGCAAAAAAAAAACTGTGTAGTGCAATTTTGCATTCACATTTTGCATGTTATGCTTCCTAATGAAGCAAATTGATTGATGGTATTTTGTGACTAGTATGAATGTTGAACCAGTGCCTTGGCACCAGGACCAGCAATGGACTCCTTTTTAACCTTGTGTGGATGGATGGATGAGCACCTCTAGTGCCTAGCCTTCATGGCTGTTTTTACCAAGTTTTAATATGAATGGAGTGTCTGAGCACTGCAGTGAACTGAAGAATGAGTGGACACTACAGTGCCTGGCTTGGCAGAAAAGCCATTTTATCCTTTTAATCTGTGTGGGATATGAGTGAGCGCTTTGCGCCCAGGCCAGGCAGAATGGTCTTTTTATGAATGCTGTAATGAAGAATGAATGTGATGACTGTACTGCTACTAAGTATTACTGTGGACCTGATGTTTGTAGCAGGCCTACCTATTCAAAGGCTGGGCTGAGATGAACTGATGAGTTTGTGGAGATTCATGCATATCATTCATCAGAGTTCAGTTACTTAGCTTAAAGTATAAATGGTAATTCCATATATATAACTGGGATGCTGATCTCCTGCCGCTGACTGTCTTTTGTGCACAGCTGAGCAAGTGCTCCATTGCTATTGAGCATAAGAGCTTGGCTTTGCAAGCTCAATTGTATGTCACCCTAGTTCTGCCTTGTGTTCTTTCAAATCATTCTTTTCCCAGCCAGCCCGGGGGTCCTAACCTGAATGTGGTGCTCCAAACATTGGTTTCAACTCACTATTGTAATATGCTATTGTGCTGGCCTTTGCCCTGTCCCAGTGTGGCTCTCGCGAGACCCTGCAGTGGCTGCCCCTTGGCCTCTCGTTGGTCGCGGGTGTGGTCCATGTGTTTCCCCCTGTTGGCGGTCTCTGAGCTGTCTGGTTGGGTACGGGCGCGGCCGTGGGGTCGTGGCCGCTCTCGGTCCGGGGTCTTTTCCTTCTGAGTGGGCTGGCCCCGCCCGGCTCGGGACTCTCCGGCCCGCCCGTGGCCGGCGCCGCCCTCGTGGTGCTGGCGCGCTGCGGGGGTGCCCCCCACCGTGGGCGGCTCCTGGGGGGCTGTGCGCCGGGTGGGGTTGGCGCGCCGGGGGGTTGTGGCGTCCGGGGCGGGGGCGGCCGCGGGGCCGCTGCTGTCGCGCGGGGCTTTTTTTTACGGGCCACTGCTGGGTGGTACTCAGGCTGGCTCGACCATACGGCTGCCGCTAGGTGGCGTAACAAGACATCTACAGATGGCGGTAGTGTAGATGCGTACTACATAACACTACTATTATGTATAACTATCTACATATGCTGCTACATTCGTTACATATGTTGCTCTTACATTGTGTATTGGTTGAAACCAATATTCTTTGCTCATCCCAAACACTGTTATTTAGTGTTACCTTCTATACTGAGTATAGCTTTTCAATCTCTTGAATTTCCAGGAGATTAGTGAATGCCGTTACACATTATTGATGACGCTCATTTGCATAATCTATACCAGAAAACTTTTGATCCATTTCATGGCGTCGAAAGCAACTTTGAACCAGAAACTCAAAGAATGTTTGAGGACATTATCGGTAAATGTAAATTCTACTCAGTTGATGTCAATAGATCTAAACCTGATGATCTAATAATTCACCAATGGTCAATTATACACCTGAATGTCAGATCCATCCTCAACAATGAAAAGTTTGACTCACTCACAACATTTCTACACACAACTGGTATCAAATGGGATGTAATCTGTATATCTGAAACCTGGCTCAATCGTGATACTGAAAAACAGCGCACAATGGCTGGTTACTCTGCCTTCTTTGAAAGCAGAGTAGGAAAGGCAGGTGGAGGAGTGGCCGTTTACGTGCGCAGCGATCGAGTCAAATCTTGTGTGAAGTTACAAACAGAAGGTCTGAGAGGTACAGAATCATTATTTATTAAATGTGAACTACCTTGCTCTAAGGTATTAATCATAGGACAGATTTATAGACCTCCAGGTGTATGTCAATCCGAGTTCATTGACTACATGGACACCATTTTAGAATCACTTACACGAGCTCAAACCAATTGCTCATGCATAATTGCAGGTGATTTTAACTTCGACCTTTTTGACCTTGACAACGATGACTCTACCCGTGACTTTTTTAATCTCCTTACATCGTACGGATTCCTCCCATCCATATGTAAGACAACAAGGTATGGAGAAAAAAAGTGGTCACTATTAGACAACATATATTGTAACAATATAGAAATTGTAAACAGCTCTGGAGTGATCAATGATGATCTGTCAGATCATTTTCCTGTGTTCCTCACGCTCAGCATCAAAAGCGTTGAGCGAAAACTGCAAAGGGAAGAAATAAAATCTTTCGACTACAGGAAAATTGATGCCCTTAAAACACACCTTCAAAATTCATTACATGGATTCACTAATGTAACAGACCCGAACATTGCCTGTGAAACTTTACTACAAGCATACACAACAGGAATAGATAGGTATAGCATTACCTATAGACCCTCTAGGAAAAATACACCAATTAAACCGTGGATCAGTCCAGGTATTTTAGCATCAATAAACCGTAAAAATGTATTGTTTCTACAAAAGAACAAATATCCCAATCGAGAAAACATATCCACATATAACAATTACAGAAATGCCCTTAATAATATTCTAAGGGAAGCAAAGAAAATGTACATCAAAAACGAATTAAAAAATGCAAACCCTAAGAAAACGTGGGATATCTTAAGAAAGATAACGAAAGGTTCATCTGGCCACTCAGCTTTGCCAAAATCCTTCCATACCGCAGATGCGAATGTCGAAGGGCCTCAACAAATAGCTAATGGATTTAACACATTTTTTTCTAATGTTGGTAAGCAGTTAAGAAATAAAATACATCGAAATGATGTAGATCCAACAAAATATATACCTGTATTTACAGGGAATAGCCTGGATTCCCTATCACTCACTAATGAACAGGAAATTACCATCATCGTAGACAATATGAATAAGGTCGGTGGAGGCCATGACAAGATAAATACTAGAATATTTAGAGCAACTTATGCCTCAATAATGCCAGAAATCGTACACTTCATGAACCTCTGTCTGCAGGAAAGTA